AGATTAATGTCTTTATAATAAAATCTCAAAATGATCAAGCCATCTAATGGAATTTAAAAATAAGTTATGGGAAAAAGTTATAGTACAGCCACATGCTGGGATGCTAAGTTGCCATTAGAATCATGTGCAGAAGAATATGGAGGAGAGGAAAATATTTGATCCTCCAAATTTCACTTCAGAGAATTGTGTTATTTATATAATGTCTAGGACAGTGTGTCTATACATGAATTTAATCAGTTGCTTAGTTCAGTTTGAAAGACAATTCTAGAAATCAATTTTCATTACGGACCAGGCATTCGGAGAGGGGGATAAGAAGAGCATATTTCTTTGTGTTGGTGATAGATAAATAATATTAGAAGACCAAATATTTAATCTTAAAGGTGATATTGAGAGTGTACTCATGATTAGGAAAGCTGAAGACCCTTCTTATTTTATAAATTAATGATTTCAAATAGTACTAAATGTCAAAATAATAACTGGAAATTTCAGTTTCAGTATGATCTACCTGTGTGACCTTGGGCAATTTACAAAATTCTCATATATAAAATAGAGGTGATAATATTAGACATCTCAAGATTATCGTGAACATTAAATGAGTTAATATATTGAAAAACACCCAGAACAATGGCTAACACATAGTGTTGATGTGTTTGTTAGTATTAACGTGTAAGCAACAAAAGCTAATTTTTGAAGAACTTTAAATTTTATTCTTCAATTACAATTTACATTTAATATTATTTTGTATTAGTTTCAGATGTACAGAATAGTGGTTAGGTGATTATATACTTTATAAAGTGTTCCCCTGATATTTCCAGTACCCACCTAGCATCATATATAATTATTACAATATTGTTGGCTATATTCCTTATGCTGAACTTTACATCCCTGGGACTATTTTGTAACTGCCAATTTGTTCTTCTTAATCCTGTCATCTTTTTCACCTGGCCCCCAACCTCCCTTCCCTCTGGAAACCATCAATTTGTTCTCTGTCTCTGTGTGGTTTATTTATTTCTTTAGATTCCACATATAAGTGAGATCATATGGTGTTTGTTTCTCTGACTTATTTCACTTAGCATAATACCCTCCAGGCCCATCCCTGCTGTTGCAACTGGTAAGATTCCGTTCTATTTTATGGCCAAGTAATATTCCATTGTGCATATGTACTGTGACATTTTTATTCACCCATCTATTGACTGGCACTGGGTTGCCTTCATATCTAAAAACAATTTTTAAGTAGCATTTTATCAGTAATTGGAATATGGACAACACTGGTCAAAGTGGGTGTAAATATTTGGCAAATGGGATGATTTTCTCTGAAAATCCTTATAAAAACATTGAGAACCTTGACTAAGGAGCTTAAGCAGAATTAGAATAGTATTGGAAAAAAAATTGTGGTTCAGCAAAATATTCCTTAGATCAAGAGATTCCTTAGTGGGCATTCACAGGCAGCATCGAAACTTACTGTGATACACACAGAAAAGACTTGTAAAACAGCACCGGGCATAGAGGACATATTCAATAAATGTTACTTATTATTTTTACTATTATTATGTAACTAATAAAAATCAGAGGCATTTATACTTTATATTTCAAAGTGGTTAAATAGTAAATGCTGTCAAGTTACTTGACTTGGGAATAAACCAGCAGAGAGCAGGCGTTTGTTTTCTTTTTGTGGTGGATTGAGACAAGGACTGGCATCTACGAGCTACCAGATCTGAAGACCCCCAGTTACCAAAGACAAAGATAGAAAAGCACCATGAAAAAAGGCAAAAACCATCTTTGCTAGGGGAACTGATCGGTGAAACAACATCTTTGAAAGAGTTGTTGTTGAAGGATGAGCCCTTGGCGAGCAAAGACCACATTTAGCCCAGAGGTGGGGTGTCAAGTTGGGTGGAAGTCACATCAGAGCTCTAGTTATCACACGCGTTGCTCAGAGGAGAGGAAGCCTTCAGTGTGTGCTCCCGCTCCCTCAAGGTTTCCTGCCCGCCATTGCTCTCCTTTTCTTCTGTTTTCTCTTGCCCAGATTCTGTACATATCCAGATCTTATGTACCGAGTTTCTGCCCTTGAAATTTACCTGTCCTGTATGATGTCGCCTTCAAGGTGTCAACTTACTTCATGATAAGCTCATCCATTTTAAAGAACTGAAATTCAGGGTACTTTTGTCATATGTGTTAACTAGCACATTCTGAACACAATGTCCAAACTTGAACCCTTCGTTCAACTCTATCGAAGACATTCCAGGGACAGGGCTTCTACTGCATTTGACGTATGAAGTTCAATGGCAAGAAACATTTTTTGAACCTCATTCTCTCTGTGTGAAAAGACATATTCACATGCTTTTCTTTGTCTTGATGTGGAATCTGTTCTCTGTTTAAATATCTGATTATTCCTTTGATTGAACACTCAAGAATATAGTACTTTACTGTTATAGTAGTTTAATAATTATATTCATTTTACCACATGTAACATGAACATTATTACTGTATTTCCTTGGATTTACATGGTAGCTTTCTACTATAAAGGCTTACTTTGCTATGGAAAATTTTTTGTGTATATTACGTAAAACTGTTATTTTTCTAGTTGCTATCATTCCTTTCTTATAGGCACAGATGGACAAAACTTTTAAGATTTATTTCTGTCCTGAAAAAGTAGGTTCTTTTGGTGCCTTTAGTTTTGCAGTAACACTTCCTAATGAACAGAGCTTTTCCCTTTATTTTCCACTACAAACTATGTATCCTATTAAAAATAAATATTTTAATTGTATAGCATATTTTTATGCTTTATTTTTGGCTCATTTTATGATTGCATATTTCAATATTGAGAGTATTTTGCAGGGAATTTATAGGAATTTACGTTTTATGTACTGTATGTATATGTATCTAATCACGGTAGGTATAAATTACTCTTAGTTAAAAAATTGCACGAAGTTAGAGTATTTTTATTACCTAATATTATTAATATTACCTCATTATAACCTAAATACATATGGGTTTATTTTAAAGCTCCATTTGAGTGGGGAAGAAAGTGAACAATTTTGAAATCATCTGGTTATCTGAGCACTTTTGTCTGAAAATTAAAGGCTATTTTCAAGTTATATGTTTCCATGTGTCTTCAGAGAGAAACAATCTCTAATGTTGATTCATTTTTTGCAAGGTTTTATTTAAATATTTAAAAATCATGTTAAAAAAGTGTTAAGTCTCACGTGTTTGGACAAGAGAGTGACTCAGTTACTTTGCTGTATATATAATTTCATTAATACAGAAAAATTGGTTATTAAAGTAGTGATTTTTAAGCTACAGCCACCCTCAAACAACACATGGGTTAGGGGCACCAGCCTTCTGTACAGTTGAAAATCCATGTATAACTTCTGAGTCCCCCGAAGCTTAGTTAGCTAATAATAGCCTACTATAGACCAGATGCCTTACTGATAATAGTCAATTAACACATATTTTGTATATTATATGTAGCATACACCATATCCTTACAGTAAGCTAGATAAAAGACAATGTGCTTAAAACATCATAAGGAAAATATATTTACTGTGTTTATTGAAAAAAAAAATGTATGAGTTGACCCCTGCAGTTCCAACAAGTGTTTTTCAAGGGTCAACTGCATTCACAATCTGACCACCAGATTCTAATCGTATTACTAGCTATTGACATGGCTATGTGCCTGTAATGTGAGATCGTCGACGTCTTTATTTTCTCCTTCCTTTGATGCAGTAAAAGGCCCTGTTTAGTCTGTGTGATGATATGACATTAAATATACATACAAGTGTTTATTCTTAGGTACATGGCTTCTACTGCACTTATTAGGATGGATTCTATGCTTTTTTTTAAGATGGTTTATACAAATATTTTAATCCACTTGACTACAGAAGGATATAATTTTAACTAAAAGGTCTAAGCTATTTAAAATGAATTTGAGATGTAGTTCTGATTGTTCCAGATATTTCATTTATATTTTCCTACATGTGGTAATGGTACTAATCCATAAAATAATTCTAAAATCTGTCATGCATCATTAAATTCACTTATGCTTCATTGGAGCTATTTAAATAAATTTAACTAGACTATATAATGAAGAACTTGGTATTTTTGTATACTACAAAGTAATTTTTATATGTTTTTAATGTTGCCTCAAGGTTGACTTTAATGTAGGTACTTTGAATAGGACCACATTAAGAAACTTTGTAGTGGGGCATTATAATATAACATTGGGAATTACAGTTTTTTTTTAAAAATTGAGAAGTAGGATCTTTTGTACATGGATGTATTAAGACATTAGAAACCATATTAAGAACTGTATGAAACTGTTTATTATAGGAGTTCAAATCATTGAAGTGATTGCATTACAATGCAATTTAATAGTAATCTTTCCCCAGAATGCTTTGTTGCTGAGAAACCATTAAGACATTAAATTGTTGGAATTATAGCTGCATTGTATCAGATCGAACTTGGCTTGTTTACACCATAGTCCAAATGGCTGATGTCTCAGAAAACTAGAACAAGGAACCCTGGCACAAATGCTACATTTTGAATAAATTTTTCATATCTCTAGGATGCTTTCCAAAGAAGTGTATTCACAGAATACACCTTCTATTTCTTTAAATTTTATCTTAACTTTTTCCAAATTTACCTGGCCTTTTTCACATGCTCTATTCTCAGTCCCATCTGAAGAACAAGTGTTTTGGTGGAGCCCAGGATCCAGCCTCTCCCTCTCGTTCTTTCCCTTGCTTCAGCCGCCCGGGCTGCTTTAGTTCAGTTGTGTTACTGCTGCTTCTGGTCCCTGCGCAGAGCTGCACTCTGCCCAAGAAGCTTTCGCCCCAGGTATTTGAATGCCTTTCTTCCTCGAGGCTTCAGATCACTGTCCCGACTTTAAATATGCCGGTTGTGGTGTTTGGACAAATCCAGATATAAAAATTTCTCTCACTTCAGAGAGTTCCTTTTATCCTATTTTATGCCTTTTATTTAGAACTTCATTTTTTCCCCCCTACCAGATATTATGACACCTCAGCTGAAATTTCAAAGATCACCCAAGAAGTCTACTTTCCTGGATTCGACAGACAGAAACTACCTGATGAAGTTATGGGCCAAACTGTCAGCCAAAAAAACACCCGTGGTAAGAAGGGACAGATGGGTGAAGCCATAACTGAGCATTACATAGTGTCAGACAACAGTAGAGTTTAATGTTTGCAGATTAATAGGCTTCCCCAAAATGATCCTCTAACTGGTGTCATGGAAAGACAAGTTTTTTTGCTTCTTTCGACACCTCTAAGAATAGACGTGGGATCTAAAAATAGAACATACAGTTTACAGTTTGTGAGTCCCTTTCCCCCAGCCTCCTAGTCTAAACCCTAACACTCAGCTCTTCTGTTTAGCAAGAATAAAAAGCACAGCGATAGACTTAACACTGTAAAACATGTATTTACAGGGAAAACTCACTTTGTTGCAGGGATATAATTTTTGGTGTTCTTGTGTTGAGTTGTTAGAGTGAGCCCACTCAAGGAGTCCCTGTTTTGATATCATGGCACTATTTAAACCAGTCATATAACCTAGTCCCAAGTCCGTTCTCTGAAAACTCAGAGATATCAGTGTGCGCAGAGGTATTGAGTGCAGAATTGGCACTGCAATTCAAATTCGGTGGTGCTCATTTTCCATTTTAGTCGTTTGCGTGTGATGATCTGGGAATACAAAGAGATCTCAATTGTCGCAGAAGCAACAACTCTTGCATTAGTTGTCATTGCCTTGGTTGCGTTTCCTTAAGCCTAGCCTGTTCTAGGCAAATAAAGTCAGAACCATAGGCAGCGGTCAAAAGAATCAGGCTGGCTGCTTCAGCTGAGTCTCAGGCTGCGGTATAGACAAGTCTATACATTCTACTCTGATTTAGTCATTAGAGGGGGATGTTTGAGGTGTAAGAAACAGATACCCATCCTAATCGGCTTCAGTAGGAGTAGTTCCATTATAAAAATACAGTGAGTGCGTTCCTGGTGCATCGTGCGCAAGGATGAAGCAGACCTCCCAGAAACGAACTAGGATTAGAAAGCTAGGTGCTTCCTCTGCTTCCCAGAGGCACGCGGCTCCTTTCGTCTGCTTCTGTCTCATGTTTCAGCGAACTCTCTCTGCTGGCTGGCCTGCTCTACGTAATCTGCGATCATTCTCATGAACTCTCTCTGCTGCCTGGCCTGCTCTACGTAATCTGCACTCATTCTCATGAACTCTCTCTGCTGCCTGGCCTGCTCTACGTAATCTGTGCTCATTCTCATGCACGGCAGCTCCAGCTCTCCATGACCTCTTGGCTCTGTGCCCTCCACTCCCAGCAACTTCTCTCGGTCTCTTTGATTCGTATTGCGGAAAGCAGGAGAACCTGCCTGGCCCAGCCAGACGTCTCTGGCCATCCCGAGCAGATCACATTAGCCTGCCCGTCCAGTTCCCCGTGGCCCAGTTGGTACTGATTATGGCTTCTTAGAGGGAGCAGCGGGGAGACGCTAAACACCTATTAAAAATGTGAATTCGTTCCCTGCTACGCGAGTGCTTATGTATCCAAAATAAATCTGGAATTGTTCCCATCCACCTAGGATCTGTGGGAAATCAAGTATCAGTCATTAGGAGTGGGGTTCACATCCCTTCTTTGGATTAAATTCTAGCATCCTGAGGCCCTCCCAACCCTGGAAAGTGGAGGGAGAGCCGTGGGCCTGCAGACCATGCCCCATGGATGTCACGGGGCTGCGCCTCGAAGACCTTGCGTTCCACTCCGAGCCAGCAGCTCTGGGATTCCGCGCATGCCATCCCACGAGTGCCTGTGTCTGGTGCTGACCCCTGAGACTGTGCCGTCCCCAGGGGTCCTCCTACAGGAGGACGCCATCAACTCCTGTCCCTTCGGTCCTCAGAAATCCAGCTCTTTCCAGATCAGTCTACTGCACTCTCTCTACTTACTATCCTGTCCTCCTTGGATGGTATGGCTTTATGCTTCATGGAGCTTAATAAATTGTTCTTTAATCTCCCCTAGGACATGGCATATCCATAGTGTAAACTCCAGAACATGAATCATTGGCCACTTTTATTTATTCCTTAATAATGAACCATGTCCTGACAGCCAGGACCAGCTCACAGCGCCATTTGGCTGCGCTTCAACACACCGATGCAAAACACACACCGCTGATTTGCACCCTCTGCCAGGTGGGGGGTATCCATGATTTCTTGAAACCTGACCAGTCTGAATATTACCTTTCAGAACACTTTCAGGCCGAATTAAAGATAGCTTTCTATGGGTGAGGGCACTTGGGTACCCAGGAGTGTGAACAGGAACAGAGATATTTTTTATTTTAAAGCAGCATTATATGTTCTTAGCAAAACTTCATTTCCATTTCAACATAAAATTAATGAACAGTATGGAGAAACGGGGAGAAAGAGTGTGATAAAAAGGCAATATGAGAATAGAAGAGGCCACCTTGGCCGCGGTAGATGGGGCAGGGGAGCAGGTATCACCAACCGCCTGCTCTCAAAGCATCTCATGAAGTTTCACACACCCGGGGTCCTCTCTACCCAAAACCGCCCCAAAACTCACCTTGTCCACGAGGTCTTCCAGTCTAACCCCCTCCTTCTAACACTCTACTCTTTCCATGCGCATAGTCTGTCACTACATGGGTGTCAAGACGTGGTTACAAAACCATGAGGCTGCCTCGGTCTGTGTCTTACGGAAACGATTCTATTCCTTGGGAGTCACATATGCGCATGTCATAGCTGGGCGGGTAAGTGTGTATTTGTGTGGGTCTCTGTGTCTGTGTGTATTTTTAGTCTGGCTTGCTTCCATCTGCATTTAACTATTAGTTCCTTGACCTGAGAGGAGATGCAGCGACTTTGAGTTCATGTGACAGTCTTGCCACCTACTGGGTGATCTTATAAAAGTCACTTTTCTGCTACGAGATGTCATTTTCTTTTCTGTGAAGTGAAGCGTATCATATCGACCCTACAAAGTTATTGTATCAAATGCCTATAGAACGTCTTCCTAAGTTATCGCCCATAAAGCTGCTGTTAACGGTTGCTGTGGCAACAGTGGTTGGCAGGGAGGGCAGCAAGGCCTCGGACCCTCGGCGGCAGCCCCCCTTCAGCCCACACCGCGTTACATGCCAGTTACATAAAGAAGTAATTGCTGTAAACTTAGGGCAGAAGTGCACTTCACAAGGTTATTTGATACAATGACAATATATAAAAATAAATTAGATTTTTAAATAATAGCAATATTTATTCCCTTTCCTTCCCCTCCCTTCCCTACCCCGTCTGCTTCCCCTTTTTTCCCTCTCATTCGTCTGTGTCTGCCCGTCCTGAATGTGTTGCATTCCTACCATGAACGTCGGGCCTGGATTTGCTTTCCCTATAGAGCAGATATTTGCTGACCAGACCCTGTTCTAGACGCCAGAACAAGACGGAAAGACCGGGCCCCGTCCTTGCGGAATGTACAGCCTAGTAGTGACACCTCTGGTCTCCCCTCGTGGACGGGGTCAGGTCAGTGAGCGTGTGGCTTTTCTACTGCCACCTTCGTTCTGTAAGCAGAAAATGGGCTGACGGAGTCGGGGAGCCCCCGTGTTACTGACCCCTCCTACACCGCCAGCTGTTCCTTGTGTCCAAGGTCACCGGGTGTTTACTCTAGGACCCAACTAACTTGTCTTTCGTAGGAAGAAACGTCCAAGAATATTATTTCTTGTCTTCCAGTCTGGAAAAAACCCCAAAACCTAAAAAACCCTGCCAGCACCACTTTTCTGGCTAGTTTCTCTAACAGCTTATCAATATACAATGCTTTCTGTGAATATGACCATCATTTAATATGGATTTGAGTAATTTAATGAAGTACTCAATTTCCTCACTTCTCATTCCTCTCTTACACACACACTCCTGCGTTGCTTTATCTCTTCTCTCTTCACAGCTTAAATGGTATTTGCTTTCCTGAATGATTCCCAAAGCACATTAGTTCGAACGTCTCTAAGAGATTCTAGGAGAACTATAAATATAATTTTAATCAGCCGTACTTCTTAAACACAATTTTCTTGTTAGGATTGAGTTTTGTAGAGATGCACAGCTCTCTTTTACTGCTGCAAAAAGTATAAAACAAAAGTATCCGGTGAGCGGTTTTTATTCATACGACATTCGCGTATACTGTCGGTTACAGGAATCTAAGTCCTTGCGTTTTACTTGTCAGACGTCACTGTGCTTCTCTTCCCCTGCCTGAGAGCAGCCCAGTCCCCTTCTGCACGGCTGGCTCCCCGGACGCGTACCTGAAGGTTGTGACGGCTTAGTGAAGATTTTTTTTGCTCCGGAATTACTGTGACTAGGTCTTTGCCTTCTGGGAGTAGCTGGTCTGAATTTCAATTATATCTGTTTCTTCAACAAGTTCCTCGCACCTCCTCAGGGGACACTCTTGCTCCTGGACCAGGCCAAGTTACCGGAAGCCCATTCTTTAGAAAAAATAGCCGAACCACCCGCTCATTCAAAGCCAGCTTAGCAAATGCTTGCGTGTGGCAGATAAGGAGGTACAGTTTTAGAAAGGGCCCAAATGTACGAGGGCCAGTGAGCGGTGGCTCTGTGGTCACACCGCATTGGGCGCCTGCATCGATGGAGCATGATTTCCTTCTAGCGCGGACACAGTCCGCTCAGGGACCTCGTCCAAGATTACACAGCCTGCATGTTTCTGTGTTGACTCCAGAAGAAAAGTACTTTCTTCTGCTCACGTGCAGTTCTCAGCGCACGGTGTTCAGCACCATGTTTATTAGCTGGAATAATATATTAGGAAATGCCTCTCCCACCTGCCACCTGGTCACCGAGTGGTAGGGTTCGCAAAAGGTCAGCAGTCTAAACGCTTTTTTCGAGATAATGAATCGGTGACCTATTCATTTGAAAATGTCACTTATGATCTTGATGTACGCCCATCATATCGAAGGGCATCCGCCCAATGCACTTTTTTATCCTTATTGTCATGTGGTCTTCCTTCGGCCAGTGAGAGCCTCTGCAGGTTGCTCCGGCATCCTTTTACCGCGCCCCCTGTCGTCTTTGATAGCCATCCTGCTGTCTGCTTTGACAAGGTGTCCTGTGCTCTTCTGTCCATTGCCTGTCCCACCGGGGATCAGCCTTTGCTCAGGGAGCTTTGCTTTCTGTGAGTGGGAGACGGCCATACTCCCATGCTCATGGCTGGCAGGGTGGCCGTTGTTTCTAGGCCTCTTCTGCAGACAGAGAAAATATTTCATGGGTTAGTATATCCAGTTCAGATTTAAAGACGTCAGGGTTTTTATCTGACGTCTTCTCTATTACACATATTTTTTTTCCTTCCACGCTGAGAATCCTGATTCTGAAAGACATAGGGAATGATTATAAGAGCTTATCAAATTTTTTATTTGTTTTACCCACATTGCACACAGAAGAGTCTCAGAATAACAATGCTACTATTACCAGCACCCATTATAAAAACTGAAAAGTTATAAAAAATTGGGAGTAAATGTTCTTTCTCCCCCCCCCCCTTATTTTTGGCTGTATTATAGCTACACTGTTAGCATATATAGTCATTATTTACCCTCTCTCTTTTAACTTTCATTTTGTCTTAGTTCTCAAATCTGTAGAAACTTAACACTCATCATTAGAATCCAGGTAAATGTCTCTCTCGTTGTTTTGTTACTAAGCTTATTCTCTAGTCGATGCAGAAAGGGCTATGGGAACGGGATGTCCCGAATTCTTACCTGTTGTTAACAATCTGTCACACTATTACGCTTTATACTTCGTGTGTGTTTTGTTGTTGTTGTTTTTAATCTGTCCTGTTTCCTTGTTTTGGTTTCCTTTGTCAAGGACTCATGATTTGTATGCTGGATCTGCTTTGTCTCTCTTAAATATTTGTCACTTTTTCTTGAATCCTTTTTACCACTTCTTTTTTGAGCTTAAAAAACTCTCCTCCATTTACTGTCTATTACTCTTAGGGCATTTTTGTGGTGTTTATTCACTCTTACATTCTTCCTAGTTTAGTTTTTGTTTCTAAGGTGATTTTTTCCCCCTTATATTTTAATTCTTTCCTGAGTTCTGTCACAATCATTTCTGAGTTTGTAAAATTGTAATTTCTTGGTTCCTTCATGTGTCATTTGCTTAATGTCTTTTAGTTTATTTTGAAGTAACTTTATCTGTTTTATGAGCAAGTTTTCATTGCACGTCGAGGTGTTATTTTACTCCTTTCCTCTTTTTTCTTATAATAACTTTGCATGGGGTTTGACCAGAAAACTTCTCAAATTTATGTGAAATTAGGTTTCTCAAGCTTTTAGAGGGCAACATGGTTTCTTCACATAATGATAAAATATAAAATAGCTTTCTCTCTGAGATTTCCTGGCTGTGTTTCCCTCCCCACTTAGGTCTAGGCTTTCTCCTTCCTTTGTCTCTACTGACCCTGACCCAGTTAATTACTGTTCCACTCCCACGGCTTTTTCTTCAGTGCAAGGAGACGCTGCCTTAGAAGGGAACCCCCCACGGGGTCAGTTTCAGGGATTCACGGTCGATCCCGCTCCTTCAGAACCTGCAGCGGACCCCGTGGTCTCGTCCGCGGTTGGAGTGGGAACCGCCCCTCGCACGTTTCAGCTGCGGTTCCCCAACTGTCTTGCTTGGACTCCCAGTGAACGCTTTTGAGCTACCCTGGGCTCTCCTGTTCTCAGGTCTTCCGGTCACCCTGTCGCCCCCACCCTTTGCGTCCTCTTACACAGAAACCGATGCTGTGCTGGTTTTGCGGCTGTTAACCCCTATATTTGAGGCACGAGGGGATAACTTGTCACCGTGTTTTCTTATAAATGCTTTGCTATGTCTTCTATTTTACTATGTAGTTGCTATGTCTGTTTTTATGTGGAGACTCTGGAAGACCCAAAAGCTATAATCCCACTACCGCTGCCATCTTCCCAGTCACGATATGATTAAAATCCAGCATCAATCTAGGAAAATAATAAGGAAATATAGAGCGAAATCGCAACAGCAAATGCCTATACAAGTACAGAGTGATTCGAGGAAGAAGAATAAACTTACATGAGAGCAGGGCAGCAGATTTGGTCAATCTATAGTGATTTTATAGTAATATGAAACCATTTAGGCTTATCTATGGAATTATTTAAATATACAGTTTTTACGTGGTGAAAATTTATTCGATTTTGTATATTTATTTTTAGAGAGAGGGAAAGGGCGGGAGAAAGAGAAGAAGAGAAACATCGATGTGTGGTTGCCTCGTGCACACCCCCAACTGGAGACACCCAGGCCTGTGCCCCCTCTGATTCGCAGGCCGGCACTCAGTCTGCTGAGCCACCCTAGCCAGGGCCTAAATGGTGAAATTTCAAGAATGGGTTCCTTTCTTCTTTTCTTGTCCTATTCCAGACCCCCTCCTTCCCACCCTCTAGGTAGTTCCTCCTCATGCTGCCTACACAGAAGCTCGGAGCTAACAGGCAGGGAAACCCTGAAATGGCCTTGGCAGCCAAAGACTCACCGAAGAGCCAGCGTTCAGTGAGTCCGCGTGGTAGCTCTCACGTGTCACAGGTTTCTAAGGAACAATTTCAAACGCTTGACCTAGCATTTCTCAAGGTAGCCACAGCTGATAGCAAATTCTAGTCCAGATTAGAAAGAACAGTAACCATTGTTCATTGTTTATATTATCCTCCCAAATTTTTGCTGTTTTACATGAAAAACATGTTTTGAGCTCCTGCTGTGTGCGAAGGTGTATGTGCATGTGCAGGGGGTACAGAGGGGACTTCTGGCCTCCCAGAGGTGATCGGTGTCCATCAATCTCAGTGTCCCCACAGGGCAGAGCCACTCCTGCAGGTACATTTTTTCGGCAGGAAATGCAAGTTAAATGCAAAAATGCTTTTGGAATCACGTCAACTTACTCCTTGAAACTTGAGTCTTAAAAAAATCCCCCAAAGATACGCCAACTCTTGAGGCTCTGCTGGCCCGCGAGGCTAAGCAGGTGGTGAGCCTGGAGTTGAGGGTTCGCGGCCACAGCCGTGACGTGGGTCTTTTTTTACCGGTGGAAGTGAGGCTCCCCCGGTGTCTAAAGGAAAGAATTTCCTGAGACCTGCATGCGGGGGTGAGGCTCTATGGTATGATTGGTTGGTGGTGTACAATTAAGGTGGTTCCCCTCCTGACTTCCCAGTGTCCCATCTCTGTCCATAGGAAAAGTCCTACCTTGTCTTTGGAAGGGCCAGAACAAAGGGCACTGCCCAGAGTTTCTGCTCCACATGAAAGCACCGGCCAGCACCCGGCCAGCTTAGCATGTGTCTGCAGTTGTAGTCCATTGCTGCGCTGCAGTATTCAGGCTCCCTCCTGGAGGCCATGGGCCACGCGGTTGCAAAGGCCACATGGCCAGGGAGAGAACAGATGCGTGCACTCTGGGAGTGCAGGTCACGGGCAGGAGAGAGGGCTTCTTTGTTCCTTTGGGATGAAGGCTAGGAGCTTGGGTTTGGGACAGACCAGGTGCTTTCTCCAACTGACCAATCAGCTTCCCAAGCGTTCCTTGGCTTTAGGTAGGGCCCACCCTCCTAGTTAGACAGCCAGGCCTCTAGGATCCAGCACCTCCTCTGCACCACGCCCCCAACAATCTGGCACTAGAGTGGGGAAGGAAGGAGTGTTAACCCCCTTGGCAGAGCAACGCTGCAGTCCCTGGGGTGAGAAGCTGTAGCTTCCTGGCTGGCAAGCAGGTTTATGCTCCCGAGTTTATTAAGCTCAGTGTCTCTTTTACTCCCCTTCTCAATATCTAGCTAAACATGCACGGTTAACACTTTGCCTGGCATACTTGTTTGTTGTTACTTCCCATGCAATTTTAAGTGAATATCAACTTAAAAGGAGCCTGGTATTGACATTAAAATCAAAACAGGTTTGTTTCAGATTAAGGTACTGCAGGCAAAGGTGAGTGTATTTTAAATGCATTTGCTATTTAAATAAGCGTTATGATAAATCCCTTAAGAAATGAATAGTCTTTTATTAAAAACAAATAAGCACTTTCAAATTCATGTTTTCTGTAAATTAAAGATTTTATACATTAGATTTGATTAAAGTGAAGAAACCCAGCAAATGGACAGTTGCTAAATAGGTCCCCACTCCCTCAGATAATCTATGTGTAAACACATGTTGTACTATTTATAAAGCATCATGTGCTATTATATCTTTTTTTATCCGTCTTTTTAAATAGCCATTTACCACCAGATTATAAACGGTTTGAATGCTAAGACTGTGTCTTTTATATCTTCGTATTCCACCAAATGCTCACTAAGGATTCAGTGACGGTCACGGTGGTGGCAAAACACAGGAGGGAGACCCCCCAGTTTGTCTTATTTCGGGGCCACACGCCAACATTGTTGGCTATAGTCAATGAGTTAGGTGTTATGTGTGTTAAGATCTGGGAAAACTAAAAAGACAACAATAATCCAGACCCCTGAGAGAAAATCTCATTGAAAAATTAGAAATATAAATGTTAATAAAAATTTGCCACATTATTATTGAGACGTCATATAACATTTATATATTAAATCACAGTCTTCGTAAAAGTATTTTGATTTTATTTATAAAGGGTTTTTTTTTCCCCACTGAGTAAACAGCAGTTGTTTTTTAGGCCTGTGTGTTTTTCATTTTTCCTTCCCCATATTTGGCAATCTCTAGTAAGAAGAGAATGATTATAGCTCTTTGAATCATCTGACATATTTTTAACATCAGTATAATTTTCTGAACATATTTCTTGCCTAGGAAAAAACTTCTTTAGAGAGACAGTATGAGACAGCCCGGCGGGCCCTAATGGGAAAGATACCTCCTCATCACACACTCCTATTTCAAAGGTAGTACTTTATTACATTTATTTATACCTGGGCACCTTTAGATTGATTTTCTAGTATCCAAAAATAGCAAATGGATCCTAAATTATCAACATAAATGGGGACCTCTGTGCTTAAAAGGAACCCAGTCACTGAGAATAAAAAGGCCATTTCAATTTGTTTTAAGTTATAGTTCTTTTTATTGTCTGTAATTTTAAGCTATCTGTTGAAAATTTTTAACCAACATAAATAAGCTTTGTCATTTGCCTGCTATGTATGGAAAAAACCGTGACTGATTTTTCTCCACATTGGTAGGCTGTCTTTGGTTAGTCTGGTTCAAAGGACAAGCTGCGTGGTACATACAAAGTTCTGCTGGAGGGTCGGGAGGGTAGCGGCCAGATGACCGGCAGCGTTCCCCAGAGCGGCGGGCGCTGCAGCCTGCGGGACCCCTGACTGGCAGAGTGGCCATGCCTATTGAAACCCTGGACAGATAAACTGAGCGGTTTTCAATATGAGCTCCACCGAGGGTCATGCTAGAGCAGATAGGTGCTTTGGATCCGCATGCATTTACATGCAACTGGGCTACTGTGCACACAGCCACTCTGTTGGGCAAGTCCGGGGTAAATAGCAGTGGGATTTATTCCCTAAAAATGGTTAATGATTCTTTCAAATTACTCTGGAGAATCAGGCTAATATAGATGAAAAAAAAAAAAAAAAGAATGCTTCACACTAAATTTCGGTTGAGAACTTTTGGAATTATAGGATTTTTAGAAATATTTTATTCTGGGATTATCTCAAAGTATTAGGTTACAAAAAAAGTGGACAATATCTATTTCCCTTTTTATAGTTGTTGACATAGTGCTGAGCCTGACATTAAAAAAATGGACTAGGGTTTACAATAAAAATATGTACAGGTCAGTAGGAAGATAATTTGCCTGTATTAATGATTTAATAGATAAGGAATATTTACAGCAATACAGATTTGCTTAATCTACAAATTAGAATGTAGTAATGCCAGCTCCGAGGTGCCTGCTTATGAGTGGATACATTACATTGCTCCAAATAGGTTTGATTGGCATTTACGGGATGTAATGGTCAGTATTTAGCTATTACATGTGTGTATGTGTGGTATCATTACAAGATTCTTTGGATTTTTTTTGTTATTTCTAATTTCAGGGGTTCAGTACCAGCACCCACCAATGATGTACATTACTTCACAGCCTTAGAACTGCAGAAAAGTGTGGAGATTTGTGAAGAGGATTTTTTAAAAATTCCCTTTGGGGAACATCTTGAAAAGAGGTGAGCTGAGTTTTGTTGGAGGGAATCGGCTATGTCCTGCCAGTGAGGGAAGATCAGGGCACCGCCCCCAGGCTTCGGGGGAATCCCAAACCTGGGCAGCAGCACCCCGCCTGCCCCCACAGAACTGAAGGGAGTATGTGCTCCCTCATGGAAGGGCACAGGGTTGTAGCCTAGGTTCATACAATTGGAAGCTTCTCTCTGGGACTCTGAATCTTGAGGAAGAGACAAAAAGATGCAGGTGCAGTTAGAGGTCATTCAAGTCACCAGTTGGTGGAAGAATCAAGAATCTACCGTGAAGTACAAGCAATGGCAGGAACCAAGGTAAGCTGACTTTCGCGGCCCAGCTAACCTTGCTTGGTGCCTGCCTCATTGTTAAGCTTGGTTCTCTAGTTTTCCATTAAGTCTATAAACTACCCAATAGTTTTTCTTTATTTTTTAATATTCAAAGTAGCAAGAGATGGTGTCTGCGATTTGCAATCAACATCTCTGATTCGTACAATGGCTGTATTTCAAAATGTTTACTAGCTGCTGTCCAATATAAAAAATGCCATTTCCGGGTTCCAGTGCTTAATATGTCAAAGTGTGGTTCAAGGCCTGATGGTGTGTGAGCTGAGGACTCCATGTAGACCACGGCAGACCCTCCACTGTTGCTTTTAGTGCTTGGCTTTTGCGGGCGTTCTACTACACTGTTTCTGCTTCAGCTGGACCGGCCACAGTTGGCCATCGCAGTAGGTCTGGAATCCAGGCTTCCCACACAGAGGTCTGGCTGGTTGAGTCAGTCACCATCTACAATGGGGTGCCACTCTTGGGTAGAGATCGCTGGCCAGGGCCCTTGTAGGCAGTAGGCTGGTTTATAGATTGGTGGCCTCTGTGGCAAGCACTCGTCCTTTGTCCAATCATCTGTAGCCAGAGCAGTGACAGAGAAGCGAGTAAAGAACTCCTCAGAGGGGGTCTGTGGGTTCGGCCACTCCCTGGCACATTTGAACACATGGCAACACAGTAGGCAAGAAACATGACTGGAAGGAAGTGCTCCAACATTAACAGTGGATATTCCTATGGAAATATCAGTTGTTTTTCGTTTCTTCATTTCTTTTCTGTAACTTCTAAATTGTCTACACAGTGTGTGTGTGTATTTATACACATACATATATATTTATATCCTAAAAAACTACTAAAATTCTATGAGAATTTGATGAAATAGTCAAACAATGGGAGACATCGATCTTTTAGATACAACTAAGTTTCTCATATCACTGTATATAGTTAAAAAATTTAGATAAATTATAAAGAGTTAAATACAAATCAGTACCTGTAATATAATAAATGTTAGAAGTTAGGTGCAAAGGTATAGCCCACATAATTTAGGTCTACAAATATTCATATCTGTATGTATTTAAAAAAACACTGAAAAGAAATACACCTAAATTTTTATCAGTTACTGTTTTTTAGTACTGGGATTATGACCAATTGTAATTTTCTTTGTTCTTCCCCATATTTTTAACAGCGAACACTTTATAATTTCCAAAGTATCAATATAACCTTAAAACGTTATTTTAAAAGTCTGCCACAGCAAAGGGACAGTTTACGAGGGTGGCGTGTCATAATGAGAATGACAGTTTTGAAAAGAAGTAATGTTTTCCTTCATTTCTGGGTTTTGTTGTTGTAACATTTTGGGCTTCCTTCAATCATCTGATGGTGAAAAACAGCTGCCGCTTCTGAATGGCCTGCTCAAGCCTGCACGTTTCACCGACACGAAGGGCCCTAGCGTGATGATGAGCTAATCAGCTTCCTGCGACAGCGTCGAAGCTGTGGAGCTCTGAGGATTAATTCGGGCTGTGCATTTTTGGTACAGGAAGGCAGGTTGATGGGAACACAGTGAGAAAGAGGATGTCTTCGTTTAGGCTGCTATTACAAATTACTGCAGAAGAGGGCACAACTGACAGATAATTATTTCCCATGGCCCTGGAGGCTGAGGAGTCTGCGATTAGGGAGCCAGCATGGCCTCACCTGGTGCAAAACAACGAGAGGAAGTGAGCTGCCTGGTGTGTCTTCTTCCAGGGGCACTAATCCCATCTATGAAGGCCTCCCCTCCTGATCTGGGCACCCCACAAAGGCCCTCCTTACACCGTCACACTGGGAGTTAGGATTGCAACATATGAATCTTGAGAAGGGAACTCAATATTCAGCCCATAATAGGAGAAAGAAAGAAAGAAAGAAAGATGGGAAAGGGAAAGGGAAAAGGAAGGAAGAAAAAAAAAGAATGCCTAATAGGCTGCAGTGGACGCTGCCTCATCTGCCCGCGTTGGTGAAAAGGGTGGGGCTGACTGGTCAGTCAAGCCCGACCGGTCTTACCCTTCGCACGCGATAATACACATGTCTTTCAACTCCACCACTCTGACTTCTGACTCTCGAAGCATTTTCCTTTAGTACTTTCTTTGATACAAACAAAAAGTAATCGTTGAAAGGCAGAACTTACTCTGGGATACATTTTTGGCATGTGTTTTAAATGAAGAGTTTTTTTCCTCCCCCCAAAATAAGAGACCAAAACATGTATTACAGGTTGAATTGTGTCCGTCCAAAATTCGTATGTTGGGGCCCTAACCCCCCATCCCTTAGAAGGTGGCCGTATCGGAAATAGGGTCATCACAGGTGTAATTAGATAAGATGAGACCATACTGGAGTAGGGTGAACCCATAATTTAATATGATTGGTGCCCATATAAAAAGAGGAAAATTGAATACAGACACATATACACAGGAAGAGAGCCTGGAGGGATGCAGAAGCCGAGAAACAGCAAGGACTGACAGCAAAGCACGGGGGGGGGGGGGGGGGGGGGGGGGGCGGGGCGGATGTTGGGGGCGGTGTGTACAGACCCGGAACGGCTTCTCCCCCACGGCCCTCAGAGAGAACCAGCCCTGCGGACCCACTGATTTCAGACTTTTAGACTCCAGAACTGAGAGGCAATGAATCTCAACTGTCAGTTCACAGTACTTTGTTATGGCAGCCCGAGACAACTCGCACAGTACCTACTAATCAGTCCACTGAAATTTTTCTTTCTTCTTCTTTTCTTTCCCTGAACAGGCTTTATGACCCAGAAGGGATCGGGCTCAGTCCTTCTTGGCTGCTGCCTTTCTCATGGCTGCCAGGGCCCTGCTCAGCTCCTCTCTCTTCCTCTTGGCACGGATGTGTGTCCCCACCCTTTTCTGGATGAACTTCAGGGCCCTCTTCTCCTTAGAGACCTTGCGCAGCTCCATGGCTCTCCGTTCCTGGGGGACAAAGCTCCCGGGTCATGTCCGCACGCACGAACTTGGTGTGCTTGGTGAGGCACCTGCAGGGGCAGCTGAACTTGCTCATGTTCTTGGTCACTTTGTGGCCCTTGTTGAGGTCCATGGCCATGGGGTGGCAGAGAGCCATGGTTGCTATTCCTCAGTGGCTGCCACGGCGGAAGCCTTCTTTTTTTTAATCCTCACCCAAGGATATGTTTATTGATGAGAGAGAGAAATTGATTAATTGCCTCCCATACGCAGCCTGAGCAGAGTTTGTACCCACAACCTAGATAAGTACGTGCCCTGACTAACCAGGAGTCGAACTCACAAACTTTGAGTGTAAGGGACGACGCTCTGACTGAGCCGTCTGGCCAGGGCATTCCTGCTATTTTCTGTGTTCTCGTAAACATAATACATTTATATCACTAGAGATTTGGCCATAAAATCTATGGATTATTATGGTTTTCACTAGAAAGGGGAGAGCATCTTTATGTTTCTAGAGGTTGAAATCAAAGATCTAGCCCATAAAACATAAACACATTTATGGCTGTATTTAGGGGGAAAGACTTGGTCTACTTGTATCTCTAGAGCGGAGATCCCAGGCCTGGGTTAACTATGGCACTTCTCCACTGCAGGGGGCAGAGGGGAGAGTTGGTCACTCACTGGAAAACCCAGACGTCGGCAGTGCCTCCTCTAGGAAGTGCTTCCTGGCCAAGCTCAATAACTCTGTGCGGGAGCAAGAGGTTGGGAAACAGGGTCTTGTAGGAGCTTGGCTGTTCCACCCGAGGGGGCTCACTTTCCCTCAGGAGGGTCCCCAAAGCTGCCGTGTAGCAAAAGGAAGACAGACACAAGAACTCAATCTGAGAGAGATCTCTTCCATCAAGCAAGCAATTCGACTTCACTATCCGTTGATAACAAGTAGTGCAAACTTGGAAGCAGGGCCCGTGGATGCAGGGAGATTGCCCCCTCCCGCACCATGTCTGGAGTGGAAATATGGGGGCCTCGTGGCCCTTGCCGTAGTTGCCAGGGAACGCGGGTCCCGCGGGAGGCAGGCGCCCACGCTCCGCTGCATGGGAGCTCTGCGGCAGGGCCGCTCCTGGGCTCCGGCCCTGACCCGCCACCCCAGAGCTGCAGCCGCCGCTTGCATTCAGTCCTAACAGACAAGGCGCTCGGGCCCACGTTCGACATGTCACCCCCAGGATGCGTTTGCCACCCACTACCTTTTCCTCCCGGATCAAGGACAGGCCCAGAGCGCTAATTGGACTGTGTTTCTAGTGACAGAGCCCTGAACTCCTGGAGATACCTCATTAAGACTTGCTTCTACCCTTTTCATCTCAGCTTCCGTCACAATTACCACCCTGGTTAACAGAGACTCCCTCACTGAAATGACAGGCTTTGTCTTGGACAGGCTCCATTTGCGTCAGCCTTCGCTGTTGCCAGCTATGAACTGGAACGCGGAGCGTGAACAGGCGGACGTCAGCTGGGGCTTGATCCCTGAGACGTAATTTTTTGCGGAGATAGGAGGGATTACATGGATGGAACTATAGAGAAGAAAGAATCATCACGGCCAACAACGAGTCTCTGCAGTAAACAGTTATCTATTAATTTCCAACATTTTAAATCAACCTTAGGCTAAGTCACAAAAAGACTTAACTATGAGGTCAAAACTTTACACAATCAACATTGACAGTGAGAAGGAGAGACGGCTCCAATGACGAAGTTCGGAAGGTGGAGGCGGAATGTCACTATATGTCATCTGTTGTTGATGG